CGGAAAAATTGAAAAAAACCGGTTTTTTTCTCAGCCTTTAAAACTCTAATTTTTAGAATAAATAAAAGGTATAAGTAATTTAAAAAATGGTTTTGATGCAAAATATTGTTTTTACAGAGATTATTGATCTTGAAATCTTTCAATATCTAAAATAATAGTCCGGCAAGAGGAAAATGTAATTGCGTACTTACGGAAAATGCGGGACGGTCATGTCAAGCAGGGCGTACAAGTAGCAGCATATGATCAGCAGAAAGTGCCACGTCATTCTTGAAGAGAGCAGGGAGTATAGAGAGTGATGTGGATGACCCAAAGAAAGAGCAATGCATGCAACGAAGTATGCAGAGTATGTCATAAAGAATTCATCGTCACGGATGGATCGATGAGATCGTTTTGAACTCCCGAACATCAAAGACACTCCTGTTCTCCTGTGAACGGAAGGACGTGTTTCTTCTGAGTCTATTAATATTTTAACAATATATAACTTGATTTTTAACTCAATTGATAATTATGAGTAAAAGAATTATTTAATATTTATTATTTTAAATAATTTCGTCTACTCTATTTCTTATTTAATATTTTAAATATGTTTTTGGAATCTACTTTATATTTTTCATTTTAAATATAAGTCATATCAGTTTTTTATTGGTCCCTGCGATATTTTATTTTAAATAAGTTTCTGAAATCTCTCTCTCTCTCTCTTTCTCTCTCTATTTTGTATTTGATATTTTAAATGCAGTTGTATTAGTTTTCAGTCATGAGTTTTATTTTACCGACCTCTGGATAATACGAAAATCTCGTTCACTTCTGTTATTTCTTGCCGATAGAGTCGCGTTCATGATTAACAATAGGCAATCTGTTATTTCCGATGCTTTATGTACATTGTAAATAAATATTTATATAATAATTTAAATGCACGAGATTTGAATAGAAAATAATAAACATAATATATTACGATTTTGTAGTACATACATTCAAGGTAATGTTAGGCTCTCCCTTAATCTTTTTGTATTACATTGATTAAGGAACTTTGTACCAATAATAAAATTTCATAAAATTAATTCATTAATTCATTAATTAATCAGTTATTGGAATTTTCTTTCTCATTAATCCGTGACCTAGCATATTTCAGGGGTTGTTTCCTGCGTTGCATCTCTTATTTTTTAATTTTATGGTTTTTCACACGACGGTTTTCCGATCCAATTTTCCATTCACTGATCAACTGCACATTCTATCGTTCGGAAATCCGGCGAATGCTCTCGACAAAGATTGAACGGAAGTTATTAACCGCTCGCCCGAAAATCTTTCTCGCCAAACAATCACTTCCGATTCCTCGTGGATCAATGAACATCTGAATTACATCTGAACATAGCATCTTATGAACGAAGTCATTGATGTAAATCGATATTGAGAATCTTGAATCACATTGTCGACATCGATCATCGACTGTAATCTACATTATTTGTTGAACTTATTAAATCATAATAAAAATCATTTTCATTAAGAAACTTTTATCAATAAAATAATGTCTCGCATTAAACACTTCGATTAATGTATCGGTCTTATAATAATTTCAACTTAATGAACTCCTCACTTTTATTTTAATAATATTTTATTAAAATTTAATTATACAATAAAGATTAGAAGCATAAAATTATAAGTAGAGTTTGTTTATAAAATCTCTTGTATGTGATGAGTCCGTTATTGCACAATAAAAGCATAAATTGGTTTTTAATTTATTATTTATTATTTTAAACCATCGTTTATTAAATGCAAAAAAATATTTATTAATATTTACAACTGAGAAACATTATTTCTAAATAGCATTTTATAAGAATAAATCAATTATTAATATACAAATGTAATCTTTAAATGTATGAACTTATATACATATGTAGTACTATAAAGTTATATAATATATTATATAACGATAAAAGAAATTTATATCATAATAAATGTTGAAACATTTTCAAAGAATTTTTGAAATAAATATATTACAAATTACGAAATAAATAATACGAATTATAAATTATTTCTATTTATAAATTACCATCTAAAAATATAATGATAAAAAACAAATAATCATATAAAATCACAAATAATAATAATTATATAATTTTATTAAAACATGTATGTTAATATATACTAAATGTCACATTATGAACATAAAAAAATAAAAAATTGAGAAAATATATAATAATTGTAAACTTGCAAACAGTAGAAGATTTAGAATTTACGTATTTTATGTATTTATAAAATTTTAGGAATGTAATTGGAAATACTCTTAAAACCATCATAAGTCAATGATCGAATAACGTAAAAAAACACATACTAAAGATTTTGTTTGTAATAAAATAAATAATTAAAATAAGTAAATTTATAATAAAATTATTAAAAATTTAAAAATTCATCTTTTACAAATATTTAATTACCTTTTTAATTTCTCACGACATTCTTTGTGGATCTTAAACACGATTACTGCTCTACGATTGACGTTTCTTCTCGTCAACTTTGATATAAAGCACGTTGAGAAGATTATCGACTGTTCGATGGCGATTTTAATCCACAATATCTTTCAACATGCGAGGTTTCTCTCTTTTAATCACGACGTTAAGAGAAATGATGTCGAAGAAACTCTTGAAACGACGCGAATTTTCTCACGTGTTTGACACTCCAGATTTGTCATATGGAAACTGGTCATACCGCTGCACTTTTTCCTCGCTGTCTGTTAACCACCCCTTCGGGCTCGACCGTCTCTAAGCCAATTTGCCTATCGACAAACTGATTAAGCCCTACTCTCTTTCATCTGCTGTATCGTGTAACACGTAGGTCTGAAGTCGACATCCTGGAGCAGACGGCATCTGAATTAGACATCCTTGTGCAATTTTTCAATCAAGAGCGTGTCGGAAAAAGTGAAAGACTGTATAATGATGAAAGTTAAATTGTGTTTATCAATTCTTTTCTATTTTCATATATCGAAGAAAAGTTCATCAAATTAAATATTGCAAAATAATAACACACAATTTATAAAAATACTTAAAAATAAGATATAAATGCTTCTAACTTGCAAATTGTTAACGAATTTGTTTAAACACAAATGTATAAATATAAATATATATAGATATATATATATCACAGAAAAAATTGCTGTGGATGTTACAACAATATTCTCTATGTTTGGAAAAGAAATGCATGTAAATTTAAGTTATATTGATGTTACATGGCATTCATCTGTTAAGGTATCATCAGTACGGTTGTCACAACCGTAGTGCTTAGGATAAATAATATTCGGTTAGAATATCTTCATATATTCGGTTGCCTCAACCGAAGCATTATTGTTGTCTCTCTAGTATGGTCTGTACAACAAATAATATAATTGAGAGATATATATGATATAGTTGCACGTCACAACATTGAGGCTGAGAGTTCAGTTAACTATATAAATCACTTCCAAAGTATTTTAGTTCCTATAACTCTTCTAAATTGATGGGCGAAAATTATCACAATTATTAGGTTGTGGCAACAGCAATTTTTTTTCCGTGCAGAGATGGGAATCGGCGTGGTGATTGGTAAGCAATATTTAATTTGCATAAAATTCACTTTATTCACAAATTTACTTTATTCTAAAAGTCAAACGTTTCGACTATCTTTTTAGCCATCACAATTTACAATAATTACATTAGTTTACAATAGTTTACAATAGTTACAGAGAGTTAAAACTCTCGCTCTTAGTTTAATTTAGTTAAATGTAACTATTGTAAATGTAACTGTTGTAAATTGTCACTGAAGACGGCTAAAAAAGATAGCCGAAACGTTTGACTTTTAGAATAAAGTATTATGCAAATTAAATATTGCGTACCAATAATCACGCCGATTCTCGCATCTGCCTTACTTATTGTATTTTTAATTCGGGGAATCTTGTTAGGTTTTTATTGTTTGTGATTTAAGATAATTGTTCATAACACGGAAAAAATTGCTGTGGATGTTACAACAATATTCTCTATGTTTGGAAAAGAAATGCATGTGAATTTAAGTTATATTGATGTTACATGGCATTTATCTGTTAAGGTATGCTCATCAGTTATACGGTTGTCACAACCGTAGT